TGTCCTGGAACTAGCCCTGTAGGCCAGGTTGGTCTCAAATTCACAGAGATCCGCCTACCTCTACCTCCCGAGTGCTGGGATTAAAGGCTTGTGCCGCCACCGCCCGGCCATAAACTTGTTTTTAGTTGAAATACTTACAAGCTAACGCGGACAACTGTCTCACCTACCTCAGACATGTGCAGAACACGTCATTTGTCTACGTGGGTAAATTCATCCAACACAAAGCCTACATTTTTGTTGTTGGATTTTGAGTTATTTTATATTTATGTGTCTGTTTATATGTACTGTAAATGCACACATGTGTGTTGTGGTACATGTGGAGGTCAGGGAACAATGTGGGAACTGGTTCTCTCTTTCCACCATGTGGATTCCAGGTTTTGAACTCAGGTCGTCAGGCTTGACATCAAGTGCTTTCACCACTCGGCCATCTTTCTGGCCCTGTTTGACTGTTTGTTTTTGTTTTTGTTTTTGTTTTTGTTTTTGTTTTGCTTTAAGTAAAGGTCTCATGTAGCCCAGGCTTGCCTGGGACTCCCTATGTAGCTGAGTATGGCCTTAAAATCCTGACCCTTCTGCCTACCACACAAATACCAGGCTTAGACACGTGCACCGCCACGCTGGCACGAAGCCCACTTTATAATAAAGTGTTGACTGTCTCTTTTTATTTGTTGAACACTGAATCTAAAGTGAAAGACAGAGTGGTCATACACTGAGAACAAACTATGTCAAGCTATGGAAAGCTGTGGTAAAATGTGTTGGTATGGGAGGGTACGGCAAAGTATGGTAAGGTGTGGTGAGTAAGGTAGGGTAAGGTATGGTAAGTAGATAAGGTGTGGTAAAGAATGATAAGGTGTGGCAAAGTATGGTAAGGTGTATTAAGGGATGGTAAAATATGGTAAGAGATGGAAAAACATGGTAAGGTGTGGTAAAGTATGGTGAGGTGTGGCAAAATATGGTAAGATGTGGTAATGTATGGTAAGGGATGGTAAGGTAGAGCAAAGTATGGTAAGGTAGAGCAAAGTATGGTAAAGTATGATAAGATGTGGCAAGGTATGATGATGTCTGGAAATGTATGGTAAGGTGTTATAAGGTTTTGTAAGGTATGGCAATTCATGGTAAAGTGTAGTAAGGTATGGTTTCTAGTGAATGCTTACCAGTTTGAACATTATGATGTAGAGGGCCCATAATGAAGCCATCTGTGGGCCAGGACAATCTATGCTGACCTTGCTGGCTATGCTCATAATCTTCACAAGATGCTCCCAGAGAGACAGCATAGTTCTTCCATCTAAGCTCGTGGATCCCCAGGATTCCACATCCCAGCCGAGAACCCATAATCCAGAAGGAACAAGCGAGCAAGGTTCACCATGCTTTGGCAGACTGCTAGGGAGGTGGATCAGGGACACAGGTCTAAAGCCACCAGGGCCAAGGTGGGGCTTTGAGAACAGATACATTGGCACAGCCATCAAGGGTGAGCGTGGGAGCCACACGCTAAACATACAGGTGCCCTGAGCTCTCCAGGCTGCACCTTGGCAGTGTGAGCATGAGGTCTCAAAAATAAAGCACCTTACCTGGGTGTGGTGGCACACACCAGAAGGCTTAGGCAGGAGGGTGGCATGGGCCCAGGAGTATGCCTCAGCCTCCCAAATGCTGAGATTACAGGCCTGAGGCACCCCCATACTGGGTGAGGGCTTGGGGATTAGTTCAATTGGTAAAGGTCTTACCACACAAGCATAAAGACACAAATTTGATCCCTAGCATCCACATAAAAATCTAGGCATGGCCGGGCGGTGGTGGCGCACGCCTTTAATCCCAGCACTTGGGAGGCAGAGCCAGGTGGATCTCTGTGAGTTCGAGGCCAGCCTGGGCTACCAAGTGAGTTCCAGGAAAGGCGCAAAGCTACACAGAGAAACCCTGTCTCGGAAAACCAAAAAAAAAAAAAAAAAAAAAAAAAAAAAAAAAAAAAAAATCTAGGCATGGGCTGGAGAGATGGCCCAGTGGTTAAGGGCACTGGCTGCTCTTCCAGAGATCCTGAGTTCAATTCTCAGCAACCATATGGTGGCTCACAACCATCCGTAATGAGATCCGGTTTCCCCTTCTGACTATAGGCATACATGCAGGCAGAACACTGTATTATACACGATAAATAAATAAACCTTAAAAAAACAAATCCAGGCATTGAGGCACATCCTAGTAACCCAAGTGCTGGGAAGTGGAGATGGGATCCCTGGGGCTCACTGGACAGCCAGCCAAGCCTACAGGTAAACTGCAGGCCAGTGAGAAAACCAGGCTCAAAACACATAAGGTAGATGGCTCCTGAGGAACAACATTGGATGTTGACCTCTAGCCTTCACACACACACACACACACACACACACACACACACACACACACACACACACACACACACACACACAGAGCAAAGTGAAGGCCCTTGCTAAATCCAGGCGATAGGAGGTGGCCGGCCCTGAGTTGTTTGGTTTCAGAACTCCAGTTCATGTCTCTGCCTCTCCAGTCACAGGGTGTCTGAGCTTCCTGCAAAGGGGAAGAACTGAGCATCATAGGTGGAGGCTAAAATTGAGAGCTCAGGACCCAGATGGCCTGGTTTGCCTGCTTACTATTTGCGGGACTTTAACGTGTTGACCTAATTAATCTGCATCTTTCCCTTTTCTTTTCTTTTCTTTTCCTTTCTTTTCTTTTCTTTCTTTCTTTTTTGTTTTGTTTTTTATTGGGGGGTGTTTTGTTTTGTGTTGTTTTGGCTTTTGATTTTTTGAGACAGAGTTTTTCTGTGGAGCCTTGACTGTCTTGGGACTCACTCTGTAGACCAGGCTAGCCTTGAACTCAGAGATCTGCCTGCCACTACCTCCCAAGCACTAGGATTAAGGGTGTCCACCACCACTGACTGGCTGCATCTTTATCTTTTCATCTGTGAACTGGGGAGAGCATCTGGGACCTCAAGGAACAACTGAATGTTACTGAAAAGCATTCAAAACCCACAGGTCACACACGGGGCTTGGCAGGGAGACGGCTTGGGATGCTCCCAGGGCATTCTTCTGGAATCAGCAGTGGTGACCCCTAACCTCCTTCTGTCTCTGGCCAGACAGTTCTAGGGTTGGAGCCACAAGGGTCCAGAGGGGATGGCCTGCCCTTAGTCCAAGGGGTGGGTAGGCAGTTGTCTGTCCAGGGCAAGTACAGCGGAGCAAGGAAAAACTGGCATCAGCAGAAACCAGGTTGAGAAAGGAGGTGGATCTCTGGTCAAGGGTCGTGGGGACCTATCCCTGAGCTAACGAGTTCAGGTCCAGTGCTAGAAGGGGTAGAGGTTCAGTGTTCAATCAATACCTGGCATCACTAAATAGATGAGAGACAGTCAAGAGCGTGGCACACGGGGCGGCTCCAAGAGCGAGCACCTTCCTATCTCTTTCCAGGGCGTGTCCTCTGGAGCCCTTGGCCTTATGCAATCCTGCCACTCAACCCGATCGCCTGTCCTAACTCTGCCACTCCTTAGCTCTCCTGAGACCTTGAGCAAGCCACTTGCTCTCGGGCATATCCATAAAGTGAGACCACCACACCCACCTTAATGGTGCTTATGTTTTCAACCCCGAAGTCCTAAAAGTTGCTCAATAACAACTTCCTCTTCCCTCGGTCCTCTCCTCCCCACTCTCCAAGAAACTCTGTCCCAGCATCAGAGTACCAAGGTTGCGGGGTGCTAAGGGCGAGCCTAGTGAAAAAAGAAGGCAAACAGTTGGATGGATAAGAGAGGAGGGTCCTGGCCCACAACCTATAAACCCCCCCGCTGTTCCTTCCTCGGCAAACAGTCTGGGCAGGCACACCTGCCCAGAGGCCTCCCTCTGGCTAATCATTCCCTGGCCCTGGGAGAGGCTCTGCCAAGGAGGCTGGACCCCTGATGTCTTGGGCCCATGTCTGCCCTCCGTCTAGTCTGGGCTTGAGGTCAGGATCTGTGGGCCTAAAGAAGGAAAGGGGGAGTTTCTGGTACCCAAAGTCTATGCCTCAAAGTCACCCCAAATTCTTTGCACAATGCAGGGACAGGAGAAGCTCTCAAATAAACTGTAAAATTGAACTGTGCCTTGGTTTATGTGCTGAGCAGCCCAAGCAAGAGGCAGATCTTCCCCCCAAAACTCCAGAGGATTCCTTCCCTTGGACAAGATTAGCTTCAACACTGAGGGTCCAAGGATCCAGATGCCACCAAGCTGACCCTGTCATGGGGTAGAGCTCAGAGGCAGAAGGCTTTGCCTAGCATGCACAAGGCCCCAAGTTCAACTCTGACCCAAGAACCACTAAGTAAAGAAATAAACATGAGATGAAGAGGATCAAGGTCCTGGGCGGGATGTTTTTCTCCGGCAACCCTCTTCTCAGCTGCCTCCCGGGGAACCCTGGAGTCTTCTTGAGCTACACGAGGCCTGTTAACATGCCCAGGCCCCAAGCTCAGAGACAAGAGGACACTTTGTCTTGTTTGGTTTGGCACTGGGTCTCATTGGTGGCACACACCTTTAATCCCAGCTCTTAGGAGGCAGAAGCAAGCAGACCTCTGTGAGTTCAAGACCAGCCTGGTATACATAGTGAACTCCAGGCTAGCCAGTGCTACACAGCAAGACTCTATTTCAAAACAAATAACAACAAAGATGAATGAACCCAAACTCGAGATAGCATCTCATGTCTAGTCTGGGCTGTCCTCAGACTCGCTGTGTAGCCAAGGATGAGTTTGAACTCCTGAACAGCTTGCCTCTACCTCCTGAATGCTGGCTCTTACAGGCTATGTGGTGTTTGGGATTATATACAATGCACTATGTGTGCTAGAACACTCTACCAACCGAGCCACACCCCTGGCTTTCCTTTGCTTATTTCCATTTTGAGATGGGGACCTTGGACTTGGAAATCAAGCGTTCCCAAGCTCTCCTCATGCTGGTACAGATGGCCTGCGTTCTCTCGTGGGCAGAAGGGAATGCAGCTGCACCTTCTAACCCCTCTCTCTGCCTCCCCCCCCCCAGGAAGCCTACTGTGCTTACTCCATCATCCTCATGGCACTGCTGTGGTGTACCGAGGCCCTGCCCCTGGCTGTCACCGCCCTATTCCCCATCATCCTCTTCCCCCTGATGGGTATCATGGACGCCTCTGAGGTGAGCACCCCCATCCACAGGTGGAAAGGCTACAGGGAAGGGGGGGGGATCTTCCCTAGAGCCTTGGAACCAAGGGAGCCACCTCACAAGGTCATGGAAGAAGGCACAGGGCATAGGAGACAATCAGCAAGGAAGCAGAGAGCATTCTAGAAACACGTGTGGTTGTTGTGAGAGTCCCTTCACAATAGGAGGGATGAGCCGTGCCTGACAGGCACAAAGCCTGCAACAAGCTGGCGATGAAAGCCAGCTGAAGAACTCCCGACAGCTGGTCCTGCTAGCACACTGCTGCAAGCCTGGCACTGGGAGGCTGAACCAGGAGGGTCTTAAGTTCAAGACCAACCTGGGATACCTAGGTAGACCCTGTCAAAAGCAAACAAAAAGATAAACTGCCATCTGTCTCTGTATGCACAGAGACAAAGTGAGGGTTTTTTTTTTTTTTTTCTGAGACACCCTTTAGATGTCAAGATCCCAGGATTCTCAATGCTCTTACTTAAGATGTATAGTGTTTTCATAGAGCCTCAAGCGCCCTCCTTGTGATACCCAAATATGAGGAAATCATTGCTATAATGTATTGTTTAGAAAACAGGGCTGGGGAGGTGGCTCCGCAGATAAAGGCACTTGCTGCCTGGCCTCACACCGTGAGTTCAATGCCTGGGATCCGCTTAGTGGACGAAGAGACCGACTCCTGCAATAGATCTTCTGACCTCCACACTCTAGCCATGGTATACGTATACACACACACACACACACACACACACACACACACACACACACACACAAGTAAATTAATGTAAAACAAATTTTAAAGAAAATAACAAAGAGGAAAGTCTGTACACATTCAGTATAAATGCAATTCTGCCTGAGTGTTTCTGTACAAGGGTGCCTCATCCATGAGGGCAGACCCCACATACAAAAGTCTAACAGAGGACCAGCTGTATATATAGATATATAGATATATATAGATATATATAAATATAGATAGATAGATAGATAGATAGATAGATAGATAGATAGATAGATAGATATTTAAAAATTTATGTATTGGATGTGTGTATTTTGTCTGTGTGTATATGTGTATGTGTGTATGTGTGTATGTGTGTATGTGCATCGCATTTGTGCCTGGTACCTTCAGAGATCAAGAGGAGATTGGGTCCCCTGGAACTGGGATTACAGATGGTTGTGAGCTGTGGTGTGGGCACTGAGAACCGAACTCAGGTCCTCTAGAAGAGCAGTGAGTGCTCTTAACTGCTGAGCCGACCCTCCAGCCTCCGACTATATACTTCTAATGTAATGGCTCTTAAGTTTGAATTGCACCAGAACCCCTGGACTGAGGAACAAAACATACAGACAGGCCTGCCTCTGAGCTGACTCGGATCTAAAGGGGTTTTCATCTCCATCCTAACCCCCCTCTTCTTTTTCCTCCTCTTCCCCCCCCCCATTCTCTCTCTTTGTTTTTGCTTCCTCTTCCCCATCTTCTTCCTTCTCTTATTCTTCCTCCTTCATTTTAACACCGGGTGTTGCCGTGTAGCCCAGGCTGGCCCAGAATTCTTCCTGTTCCTGGGGTTTCAGCACAGCTACCAGGCCTGGCTGAGCATTTTGTTTATAACAAGTCTCAGGTGATGGGGATGATAGTGGTAGAGACCACACACACTGTCCAGGAAGAGCAGGGAATTAGTTCTCTTCCAAGCACCTGGATTCAGGCTACAGCCTCCCAGTCTTGGAGGGGACAAAAGCGGTGAGTTTGACAGGAACCTGGCTCCTGTGGAATGTCTGATTGCCCAAAGGCCATTTCCATTTGGTTCTGAGATCTCAGGGGATTACCAGTTTGTGAGGATGTCGTGACTGGTCCGCATAAGCTAGGTGGTATCAGGGAGGAGACCCCAGAGTCTCAGATACATCCTCACTCCCCAGGTCTGCGTAGAGTACTTCAAGGACACCAACATACTGTTCTTTGGGGGGCTGATGGTGGCCATCGCCGTGGAACATTGGAACCTGCACAAACGCATCGCCCTCCGAGTGCTCCTTATCATTGGAGTGCGGCCTGCCCTGTGAGTCCGTGTGATTCTGGGTGGGAGAAACATGCTGGCATCCCATGTCTTGAAGGCAGCTGGAATGGCAGTGTGTCTGTCTGTTTGCCTCTAGGCTGCTTCTGGGCTTCATGCTGGTCACGGCCTTCCTCTCCATGTGGATTAGCAACACGGCCACCACAGCCATGATGTTGCCCATCGGGCATGCGGTTCTGGAGCAGCTTCAGGGCTCGCAGAAGGACGTGGAGGAGGGCACTGACAACCCTGCCTTTGAGCTCCAGGAAGCAAGTCCCCAGAAGGAGGTGACCAAACTTGGTAAGAGACCTGAAGCAGACCCCACCCCCAGACCTGAAGTAGACCTTGCCCCCAGACATGACTGCTATTCCCAGAGGCCCATGGGAAAAGAGACAGGCAAGTGACCAACCCATCCAGGTCTTCCTGAGGCTTTCCCACATTTAAAATGCCAGTGGAGTCTGCTGAGATACGTCAGGAGTAATGGTGCCTGCCACCAAGCCTAAAGATCTGAGATTGAGTCCCAGGACCTACATGATGGAAAGAGAGAACTGACTCCTGAAAGCTGTCCTCTGACTTCCATATGTGCACTGTGGCGCGCGCGTGTGTGTGTGTGTGTGTGTGTGTGTGTGTGTGTGTGTGTGTGCGCGTGTACACGTGCGTG